CTACTTATGCATGGGGAGCTTAAGTGATTAAGTGGGAGGAACTCTGAATCAGGCTGGCCTTCTGTCCAGAGCTGCAGCTATTAATCGCTGTAGGAAAACATCGGGCTTTCGAAACTGTCCTTCGACAGCACCCTATACTGAAAGGTAGCCGAAAGGCAAGGGTATTCTTCTTCTTCTTGCCCTTCACTCTCACTCCCACTCGACTGCTGAAACGGAGACTTTTTGAGGCAAAGAGGCTCATTTGTTTGATGCAGTAGCTATCCTTGCAAATAGAAATTTCGTGTGAAAAGTACTTTTTCATTAAAATATCGCTCACTCTTTCCTTGCTTTCTTTAGTGTCTACTATTTCAGTGGCAAATTTCAAGTGGTTCAAGAGTTATTTGAACATCATGAAAGGTAAAAAAAAGGAGGTCTCTGTGTGCTAAAGATTTCTTCTTCATATATTTACTTCATTCTTCCCCACTAATCAATTACTATCATTTTCTGTTTCATCGATGATCACATTACAGTGAAAGGTTTACTTTTTATAAAAAGACAAGTTAAATCTGCTGTTAGTATCAGAAATTACAATACTTCTGCAAACACAGTAGAGATTAAAATTATAGCTGATAGAACGCAAGTATTCTTTTGATAAGGAAATTCAGTCAATTACAACAGTTTATACATATTAGCTGAAATATTTTTTTATTTGAACAAAGCATAGATAGAATATTAAAACAATCACATTAAAAAGGTGTCAAAAAAATATTTGCATAATAGAAATTTTGAGTCAACACTTTTGAATAAGTGTTAAAACTGAAGCATAATATTGACTTCAAACGGTGCATTTGACTCACAATGTTCGTTTTGTGCCAAGATTTTTGTCAACGGATTGGATATTATAACTATCACATTAAAAGACAAATTAAAGAAATGAATATGAACACTGTAGAAGTACATCGATTACTAGAGAATTATAGATAAACGAAGTGTTGTCGGTTGTTGAAATGTTTTTTTGAATTTATCAGAAATTTTGTTGTCAGAAATATTCAGTTTTTCTAATGTTTTGCTAGTTTCTGCCACAGATAATAAAACGTCAGCATGTTCGTCTGTTATTTGGTTTCCTTCCAAATCTAATTGTGTCAGCGTCGAATGTGGTTTTAACAAATTACATATTGTTTCGAGATTACTGATTTGACAATGCCACACATGTAAATCAATTAATGTCTTGTTACTCATTAAACTCTGACAAATTATCTTAATTCCCTTATCTCTAATTGGATTACCACCCACATCTAACTGTGTAAGTGTTTGATTTTTCTCTAATAAGTCAGCTAAGTACTGACAACCGTCTTGATCAATTCTATTACAGCATAAATTCAAATGATGCAATTCTATATTACCATATAGTAAATATTTTACCCCCAAATTACCAAGTGAATTAACACCCAAATGTAGAGAACGTAGATGATGATTCAATGACAACATTTCAGCTAGATATTGACCAGCGTCACAAGACAGTTTTGTATTGTACAAATTCAATGTTATTAAATGCTTATTACCGTGTAATGCTTGAGCGATTAACAAACAACCAGCATTACCAAATGGATTATAACTTAAATTAAGTTCAATAAGAGTAAGATTCGTTCGTAATATTTCAGCAACGACTTTTACTTTTTCTTTTGTTAAATTCGTTTTAGACAAATTTAGAATTGATATTTCTTGTGTTAATCGTTCATTCAGACTGTGTTTTAAATCGTCAATAGGCAATTTCTTACCAGATAATTCAAGGATATGATCCGAACACACCTGTACTACTTTTGACATTTTTATTACTCGATGTGCAGTATTCTTGAAACTTTTTCGTGATTTCGTTGATTTTCGTTGTTCTTTTGTTTTAACTACTAATGGCAATGATTCTTGATGTGCTTCAGCTGTCTTAACAATTTGTACAGGTGGCATGATTTCAGTTGAGGATGGTGGTATTTCTCGAACATAAATTGTGTTTAAGTCATCTAGTGAACGTAATTTTCCAACAACTTGAAAATGAAATCCTGGCATCAATATAACTTCGTCATCTTCTGACAATGGAAGTCGTTTTCCACTATAACAATCAATTTTAAATATAGTACGTACGCCTTGTTTCCCTAAAAACGTGGGTAATTTCATTTGATCAAGCGATTGTAAACATGAACCAAAAGTCCACCATGTATATATACCGTCATCTTTATACTCATCGGATAAGTCACATGAGCGTACACCACGATAGACTGTACAATGATGTCCTATTGATGGTAATTTACCAAGAGCTGTTAATAATAAGTTTAAATATGGATGCCATATTTGAAGTTCTTCTGAAAAACCATGACGAATTGCTTCATTAAGAAGAAAATAAATACATTTTGTATGTGGTGATCCTTCCGAAATGTATAGATGAATGGCTCCTAACTCGTTTAGTGTTAGATCACTAGTATCATCGGCAGTTAATTGTTGTTTAATAATATAGACCTTTGTTGCAATATCATCAATTAAATGGACTAACGGTTTAATAGCTTCTTCTATTAGTAACAATGGGGAGTTCAGAATAATAGACAAAGATTGTTTGTCATTATTCGCAGCATAAGGAATATCGAAATAACGTAAATTATTTGTATCTTCGTCGTCGTCAGTATCAAACAAGGCGTTTACTCTTGCCATTTTTCTGTTATAAAAAGAATAATTGTAGAAAAAAGAAATATAACGTAGCTGTCTTGAAAAATATGCCTGTCATCCTTAGGGAAAATACAGATTTCTCGATCGACATTGTTATATAAATAAATCTACAATTATTATAGAAGTAATTAATCATGCAACATTGTTATTGTTCCTACTGTATTATATCACATATCTAAATTTATATTATAATTAGTCAACGTTATGCTTGTGCAAAACAAGCGGAACAAAGTTTATTCAAAAGCAAAATAATTACAGTTGCACGATTAATCGTGTTCACGGCATTTATCCTGCAATCTTGTGTACAACCATATCTGATACATTTTTTTTTAAATTTGCATTTATTCAATGTAGTCTTGTAATAACAAATGCTTTTAACGATGCAGTATTTAGTGAACAAGTCTGTTCGGCAATTTGTGACAGCATATTTTTTTGCAATGCAGTTGCATTATTTTATAAGCTTGAAAAGATCGTCACATTTACAGTGAAAAGTTAGTATTTTTCTCGTTTCTTATGATTACTAGAAGCAATCGCACTGTAAAGGAGTTCAGAAGTAGATCGATAATTCTCAATTCTTCCATTTTGTTTGTTTATTGAACGATAAAAACACTTGATAATAAATAAGAAATGAAATTAACACGGTTTTTATCATTTTATTTTATTTTCAGAAGCATTTCATCACATGCTTTTGACATCATCAGTTAAAATATAAGTTACATCAAATTCATAACTATTAATTGTCACAAATGACATTCAAGGTATAACATTTCCGGGAATATATAAATCTTCGTTTTTTCAAAGTAAACATGTCCATACTTGCTTTCACATTACAACACACGTACCGCTTTGTTCGTTTATTTAGGTGAACACATTGTAGTAACAACGATAAGAAAAAAGCTCTATATATCATTTTTATCGACATGCAAGAAAATACTGAATCATATGATTTTATTGAATATTTATCTATTCGAGATTGCAACACGAAATTCAGTGTCTATTTACTCTATTTAGATCGACCAAAAAATTCAGCAAAAAAAATATTCGATATGAATTCATTCTTTCAACAAACCCACACTAACCTTATCGAGCTAGTTGATTATTTTCACTGCAGTTTTCATTTTTACCTGTGCATCGTCTAGCCGTTCGACTTGCTATTCCCATATCCCATTCTGAACTTTCCAAAACATGCCCACATCCGTGATCTGAGAAGTCATTTCGAGCTGTCGACCAATACCAATACCAATACAACTACTGTTGTCGGAGGTTTTCATTGGATTCGATGATATCAAACATTTAGTATTGGATATGTGCCTAAAAATGTTTTACCGAATGTGTACATGGCAGCCGCTATGGATTTGCGAGACGATCCTGGAGAGTATGATTTTGTGTGCAGCATTAGTTTACTTTTGTAGAAGTAGGGAATAGCAAAATATTGATTCAAATCTTTAGTCGTTCGCAACAGAACTGAGACACTCGATAATAGTTCTCCAATACTTTAGGTTTAAGTCGGCTGTGAAAGTAAGCAACTAGCTCGATAAGATTGGTGTGCGTTTGTCGAAAAAATGAATTCATAGCGAATAATGTTTTGCTGAATTTTTCGGCCGATCTGAATGGGATAAATAGATATTGAATTTCGTGTCGCGACCTCGAACAGATAAATATTCAATAAAATCATATGATTTAGTATTTTCTTGGATACCGATAAAAATGATATGCAACTTTTTTCTTATCGTTGTTACTACAATATGTTGGTCTAAAGAAACGAACAAAATGATAAGTGCAGGGGTGGCATGATCGTTTGAACTTTCTGGGGGGGGGGGGGGGGGGGGGGTGGGGTGTTTTTTTTTTGTTTTTTTTTTTTTTTTTTTTTTTTTTTTTTTTTGTGGGGGTGGTGGGGTGGGTTTTTGTTTTTTTTTTTTTTTTTTTTTTTTTTTTTTTTTTTTTTTTTTTTTGGGGGAGAGGGGGGGNCTCTGTACTATTTAAAGAGAGAGAGACCAAAGAAAAGAAAGAAGGAGGCGGGGTGTGGGGGGTGGGCGCGGGTGGGGGGGGGGGGGGGGGGGGGGGGGGGGGGGGAGTAAAGTTATGTTTCAAGTTAGCGTGTTTGGAAAAGAAACGTTTCATACGTTTATACTATTTATTTTTCCTCGTATCTAATATAACTTGATTTAATTTACTACATAAGAACACACGGTAATGCAAATACGAGACATGTACAAAAAAAAATATTTCAAAAATAAAAGTAGAATGACACAAACGTTCACTTTGTAATATAATACCATTAACTTTTTGCTGATTTTTATTCGTCGATTTTTCATGAAAGCCTGAAAAGCATAGAACAAATAGTTAACTATTTTCATATTAATTGTGAGTTACAGTCAATCCTATCACTTCGCGATCGTATGTAAAAAGTGAGAAATGATGAAATACTTACCCATTGTTCGGTAAGTTTTTGATACATCAACTTTATCGAGTAGATCATGTTAAACTGAACATAGTAGCAAATATTCTAATTTATCATTCGTCAATTTTGCCCTCAAATAATTCTTTATTATCTTCATTTTGCTGAAACTTCGTTCATTGGTTGCAGTTGTGTTTGGTAATGTTAATATATAATTGTAAATGCTTGATACTTTCGGATATAGATGTCCACATTCTTGTAGCAACTTTGCCATTCCATTCATATTATCACATTCTTTTATTTGATCAGATAATAATTGAAGTTCTTTAAATAATAATGGTGGACTTGTCAATTTTGGAATTAGTTCACACATATGTTGACATTCATTTAATGTTAAGTTTTCAATTCGACTGTGTAACACATTAACAAACCATTGTAATTTCTCATTCAAAACATTTAAAAAACCAGAATACGTTTTGTATAGATGGTCGAAAATTTCACGAAATAATTTCAAATAGAAAGATTCTCTGTGAATAAAAAATAGAAAAATATCTCTATAACATATATGACCATTCAAGAAATTCAACTTTTTCTTAAGTAAACTACCTCGTAAGTTGAACGACTGTTGCTGGTTTTGGATCAATTCGGCGTAATCGATTGAACTCTTTATCAATATCAACATCATATGGTTCAATATGTTTCTCACCTAACTAAACAGAACAAATAATTCAGCAAACGAAAAGATGAATAATATATATGACTTTGCCTACCAGTAAGATATTTTTCAACGATTGATCATCATTTCTCATCATTTCGATTAGTTTTAACGTATTAGTGATTAGTTCCATTGATGATAATATATTCAATTGCTTTGCTTGTAGATGTGCTGTTAATGAATTGGTTGTTCGTGTTATATTTTTCATAAATTTTAATAGTACGATTACTTCATACGAAATAAATTTGTTTCTTAAATTCTTACCTTGAAGTTTTGATTCTTTATCGAATTGTTCTCCTTCTTCAATCAATTGGAAACAATAAATAATTCCATCATATGATTCAATAACAGCATGAATGGATTCATAATTAGCAGTCCAGCCTGTATTAGATAAGGATTTGATATTTAAACCATATGGAGATTTATCAAGTGCTTCTCGAAGAACATGACATCTTTTTATACTCAATGTAAAGTAATTGTACAACTCCTGTAATAACATGAACAAATTGATATATTCAACAGAACAATTACAAGCATATTCCACAGCCAAATTAGAATTATGTGCACCACATGATATATGTAAAATTTCCCGATGTAAATGGTTGGTGACACATGCTTGTACACCTTCATAAATACCTCCCATGTTTGGAGCATTATCATAGCATTGTGCCACTAGTTTTTCTGTCGATATTCCTTTTCGTTTTAATGTTTTCAGTAATAACAAACATGTCTTCGCCAACTTTACTTGGTAATTCTTGTACAGATAATAGACATTCTTCAACTTGATAGTTTTTTGTGAATCTAATAACGATTGAGTACACTTCACGATGCGAAGTATCTGGAGTACTATCAGCCATAATTGATATGAATGGCGATTTATTAATTTCTTCAATAACTAAACTTTCAACTGCTTCACCTAATAATTGGATATATTCGTTCTGTGACTGATGACTGAGATACGAATTCTAAAGTAATAATATGAGCTTTACTATCCCGTAAATATAGAAAAAAGACCTCATACCTGATATTTCTCTAATTTCGTTTCGAAAAACCAATCGTTAAATACTTGATTATTTCGATGTTGTAGATAAACTAGCTGAACAAAATTACCTATTAATAATAGAATATTTAGTCAAAATAGTGGAAATTGCCTATAACGTTTTCGGTCATAACCTTCACTTTCTGGATTTTGTCGAAATGCTAATCCTTGTCGTGCAAGATAGCGAGCTGAATCAAGTAATGTAACAATCACTTGTTTGGGTGTGGGTGTGGACCTAAGTGAAGAAAATACTCACACCGCATTGACACGCACACGCACACCCACACACTCACACCCCACACCGACACCCACACCCCACACCGACACCCACACCCCACACCGACACCCACACCCACCCATCCACACCCGTACCGGACTCAAATTCTTGATCCCTCATGTTCTTTCATCGACCTTGATGGAATTTTGGTATTTTCCTAAAAATCTCCTTGAAACCATGAAATCCTTGTACAAGAGTGATCTTCTCGAACCCCTGGATACTTTCTTGGACCTTTATGGAATTTTCGTGCTTTCCTGAAAATCTCATTGAAACCTTGAAATCCTTGTACCGGTTCCATATTTTCGAACCACTTGATGCTTTCTTGAACCGATATGAAATTTTCGTATTTTCCGAAAGATTTCCTCGAAACTGGTGGTTTATCATTTTGTTTAATGGGACTTAGCTAAAAACATTAATTAAGTGACTTCACTTAACACTTAATATTAAGTGTTAAGTTTTTCTATTGAACACTTGATCACTTAATATTAGAATTAAGTGATAAGCAGAAAAACTAAATTTTAATATTCAGTGTTAAGTCATTCACTTAACTTTAATA